TTAATTTAATTTACTACCAATCAAATGAGAGTAAGATAATGAGAATAAAACCAAATCTTAAAACAGCTCCCCTCCTTTAAATGTTATGCCCTCTAAGGAGTGCTGGTAATGACTTGAGTCTGCTGTGCAAAAAAAAAGGAGGGAGACAAAAACAGTGGCTCTGCATTTTCATTTCATCTTCCTAGGGTGGTTACTGGCAATAAGACATATTAACTGCAGCTTCGCTAAAACATGCACAGAACAACATGTCTCTTACTGCTTTTCCAAGGCGTAAAAACACATACACAGGCCTGTTCATTTCAGTCTGCAAAAATTCTATTTATCTCATATGATAAATGTTATTTTGACTGAAACACTTTATGTATGATCCTAATAAAAACTATAATACAGGATGAAATTGGTTCATATAAAGGACAGAAATACAGATCCAAGAGTAAAACACAAGTACACCAGAGACAAAAGCCCCCTTTGCATGAAGGTGACTAGAGGTAGATCCAAACCTCAGACCTTTCTCATCCAGAGGAAATCGAAAGCAAATTTCCACATATCCTGACTGCTCTAATCATTGATTATCTGTTAAGCTGGGAAATTAAAGCACCTGAATAAAGGCCAACATGCAGCCAAAAATACAGTGTTTATCAGGTCAGAAGAAAGGTGCATGACTGTAAATGAGTAGCGAGGACTCCTGCCAAGCATGAGGAAACCTGAGTTGCGGCTGTACAGAAAATCTCTCTCTGGTGTAAAACAGACAGGATGAGCTATGCTGACTCCTGCAGATGCACTGTCAGCTGAGTTCTTTGTTTTCACTGCACTGTTCTGCAGAGAGAACGTAGCAGGAGATGAGAGATTATTCATCACTATCTTCAACCTAAGGGGTGTTGCGTCAAAGGCTTGTGGTAACAGTAGGTAAGGCAGAACCGAAGAGCCACAGCAAACTCTAGAAATCCAGTCTCTAAAAATTTACCTAGCTCTGCCTACATAAAGCAACTAAGACAAAACTCAGAAAAAAATGTGAGTCATGTTGTTGAAAAGATCATGTCTACTTAAGTCAAACATCTTCTTTTTAAAAAAACGTTTCTTTCCAGTAAGTGTGCAGTATTAATACTCTCTGAAATACGCTACAGAACCTTGTAAGACAATTTCTAACCACTCAATTAGTAGTTACCAATACTAAAATAATATAGCTAGTGATATTCAGTTCTTAAATTAGAACTGAAGTTCTCTGCTGGAAAAGAATTTAAAATAAGCTGTGAATATAATCAATATTTGCAAAGTTACTGAAAAAAGTCCATTTCTTTTTAGTGCTGTTTAAGTTTACCCAAATATTAGCAATGCAGTAAGTTACAGAAGAGATCTCTGCATGACTGCAGAACACTGCATCGTGCTGCAGCAAATTTGTGCTACAGCAAAGTATGTTGCTGCAGCAATACGAACTATCATTCCTATATATGGAAAATGAATAAAATTCACAGAAGGTCTATATAAAATCTACATTTCTATTACCTAAATATCCCATAATCTGTAGTGAAATGATGTCATGAAATATCAATTTCTTGTAGTAGAATTACATTAATTTATTCTTCATGGTTAACCGAAAAGAGCAATGTGACCAGTTTTAATACTTACCTTAAAAGCTTTTGAATGAATAACAGATTGTTAATTACAATTTACTTTAAATCAATGCATATCTGAGTGATTGTTTTAAATCTTGGACCCTAAACGTAAGTTGAAATTGCTGTCAGTTGGTTTAAACAAGTAACTTTAAAGTATGTAAGATTCAGAAGAATCTACTTGCCCTAATCCTGGGTTCAGTGGTGTAAATGATGTAATTCTGGACATCTCTGCATAAAGAAGAAGTTAATAAAAATACAGACTGAGAAATGACAACAGCTAGTAGATGACAAACTATAAAGGACTGTAGACATAAATTATAAGAGAATATGCCACACACAGCACAGAATCAGTGAAGCAATGGACACAGTATTAAAAGTCACCTTTCTGGTGCTCGTGCCACGGCAACTGAGCTGGTAGCAATTTGTTTCTCACTCTCTTATTCATTCAGCTTTTCTCTGCTTTAGCTAGGTAATGGATTTATGAGAAACACTCCTGTTAGAAGGCAATCACTCAGCTGCATATTGTGAACTGTGGGATCACCTATGGAGTGAAAATAGCTGCCAAGGTGTCAGATATGGAATGGGAGTAGGACTCATGGTTAGGCAGAAACACAGTTTAAGAATAATCTCCCATTTCTTTTGCTTAAATTAACTAAGAGTTAAAAAAGTACTGCAATCTGTTATGGAAAGGATGAGGAAATCTCTCATATGATAAAGAAGGCCAAAGAAGAACCGCAATAGTCTTGTAATTTCAACATTAAAATCCATAGTTTACAGATTATAATCAATGACAGAGCAGTTCAGCAGAGTGAACATCTGCACGTAAATGTGATCATTACTTATTTCCCTTCACACAGAAACTCTGAATTTCTTCTGATTTTGTGGAGGTTAACTAAGGACTGATTTTCAAATACCAGCATTTTTCACAACTGCAGCTCTTAATAAGTTATATAAGCATAGCTGCAATAAATAAAACAATCAGCAGTCTACAGTGTATCTGACAGAAACAAAAGCATTTAAAGTTGATGTTAATGTAAAAGCTTCTAAGACATTGAGTCTTGGTGCATTTTTTGTTTTTGTAACAGAGGAGTTCTTGAGTTTAGCATATTACCCTACACACCCTCATCCTAATGATTTGTTTTTATGCAGCTTTATAGCTTCAGATGCTATTAATAAAACAAAATACAGCTATGAATTGAACAGATGTATTTAAACAAATTTTCCAGTACTATATTTGATATTCAACAAATGCAGTACTCGGAGACAATCTTATTTTTTTAAACAGACCAAAATTCTTATACCGGTAAAAAATTTCTGCATGGAGCCCTTTTTAGGTCAGTGTGAGCAAACAATTCATTACTTTTTTAAAAAATGTAATTCTAAATTCTGAAATTATAGGGATTTACAATTATAGGTCGCTTCCAATTGATTTTGCCAAGAAAGATTGGAACAGATGACTCCTGAGGTTCCTTCCAACCTGGTATTCTGTGATTCTATGAGTTAGTGTTTTTTGGTTTTTAATTCCTTTAACTTGTCCTTATATTTATATAAGACAGCATGCTAGGGCTGTGCAGAAAATTGAACACAATCTTGATATATAGCCTGGTTCACTTCACAGCTCTGATATAAAACTCTCAATTCAATGAACTTTCATGTTTTCTGATGCAACTGATCTATCAGTCAAATAAACTATGTTATTCACGACCTAAAGATCTGTACTGTGCTTACAAAGCAATCGTGCTCACATCCAGACTTAACTAAAAAGCATTTAAAAAAAACACAGCGAAGAATTTAAGCTTTGTCTAAAGGTCATAAAGTTGACCCATATTTGAACTAAAAGGTATTAGAACATCCAGGAAACCTGAAAAAAACAAAAGGTGCCTACCAGCATTACTGTGAGTGGTGCAGCCACTTCCTAGTGGACCTCCCTAGACTCTAGGCCACAGTGACAAAACTCAGTTGTCACACATAACAGAGTCAGTCGCTTCTCCCAAGCAACAAGCGAGAGGACAAGAGGAAATGGCATCAAGTTGTGCCATGGGAGGTTTAGATTGGGTTCACAGAAGGGGTTGTGAACCACTTTGAACAAGCTGCCCAGGAAGTGCTCAAATCACCATCCCTGAAGGAATTTAAAAGACATGTAGATGTGGTGCTGATGGACATGGTTTAGTGGTGCGCTCGGCAGTGTTAACGGTTGAACTCAATGACCTTAAAGATCTTTTCCAACCGAAATCATTCTATTATTCTATGATATGATTCTGTAATTCCATTTGAGACTATGTTATTGAAGAATATGTTATGAATAGACAGATACGACACAGGAACTCCAAATACATATTCTGCTGGATCAGAGTACACAAGCAGTGGGAAGCAGTTGCTTCTAGCAAAGCCTTCTAGTGCCATTTTGCCCCTGACTTCCAGTTGCTCACCAAACAAGAAAACATATTCACTTGGGTCCTGCGTCCTATTTGGCAGCTCCTAGTAGATGTCATCTCCAGATGAAGCAAGATTCCAAGATTTAAGCAGCTGAATTGACACTTAAGGGAAGTGATATAATATTGACAACTAAAAGCTTTTTCCAAGAAACTAAACAGCATATTGATGTTGAAGACATCCAGAGTTCAGATAACTCCATCTTTTCCCTTCTTAGGCCAACTTCTATTGAAGTTATGAGGTGAGCAAGATAAAGGCTCCACAAAGGGTGCCCCCGTTGTGCTGTTAATAGTACCCAGCACAACAGGTGACCCAGGCCACTTACCCAAGCTGAGACTTCTACATACAACTCTAAAACAAAATCTTTGATTATTGCCTAATCGATAATGGAAATATTTTAAATTACTGATTTTTTTAAACTAAGATCTACAAACTCCCGGAGCTTACTTTTTATCATGTAGAGAATTTCATTATGACATGCCCAAGTAGTTACATGCTATTCTCCACTGAGAACAAGTTCTTTTTTTTTTTTCTTTTGAAACTTCACCTTTCTAATAGTATATCTAGTATATAATAGTATATATAGAATTTCTTTCAGAAAATGCGTAAAATGTTACCCATATTCTATCTGCCAAAGTATTATATTAGAATAGTTAGATTAACTGTGTAAGCAGAACTAGTGAAACAACTTACATACAGGGATACTCTTTAACATGAACTAAATTATATTATTGTAAACTTCCTCCATAATTCTTTAAGTCCTGAACAAGTATATTTGTAACTAAAGATAACTGTTATTATATTAAAATATTCTACAGAAAAAGTTAACATATTCCAAAAATCCCTCCATTTACTTTGCCTGTTCTTACGGAAATTCATTTTTATGAACAGGTGGTTGGGTTGACTAGCTTATACCGGACACAGAAAAGAAGTCAATGATAAATGTAACTTTACCTGGGAACTGATCATACGTTGTGATGAACGGGCAATATTAGCAGGCAGGCCAAAAAAGTCAGGTTTATCATCTTCTGGAAGGCTTTCAATAATATTACGATAATCCTGCATTAGAAGAAAAGTATAAACACATTCTCTTCAGTTCTGTGGGAACTTTTTATTCAGCTCATGAAATTAACAGTGTATGCTGAAAGGAATTTCATTAAGTGGACAGAATAATACAAAGATAAGTATATAACACATGAGCTATCTTGGTAATCTTATTTACAGATCTCTTTATTAATAAAAACTAAATTCTTTTATATAGTGTTTCGACTCTAAAGGAGCAAAAAGGAATTCTGATTACAGAGATGCTATCAGCTGAAAACAAAAATATACTAAGAGTGTCTCTGAAAAGTAGTTACAATAACTCTGTTGAAAACTTAGAAATGAGATTAATGACAATATAAAAAAGAAAAAATATTTTTACCATTTGAAATTCAAATAATAGAATATAATACATATTCATACAATGGAGAATACTCTCATCTATTCAAATCTATGACGACATTATCACTCAAAGAAAGTGAAATCGCTTAGGTAAAAACCAGGTTGTATTGATCACTGGACATGCAGAATAGCATCCCTAGTGACCAGAACGTAACAGTCACCAGTGATGCCACTCTTGTACAAAACCAAAAGAGACCTTGCAGAGCAAGGTAGACTAACGGTGCTGGAGATCTCTTCTATTGTGGCTTTAAAGGCAAAAATAATCACACTTAGCTTTATTATTGTGTTTTACTAATCAAATCTACTTGTAGAAAACCAGTTAAGATATAAAAGTATAAACTCTCACATACATAATCATATAACTATGACAAATCAAGAATTATTAAATATAGTGCAGGTAAGAAGAAAGGTACATCTATATGACCGTATTATCTACAAGAATAGAGATCAGCCTGGTTTGTTTATTACTTCTCTCTTTACATTAACTTATCTATAGAAAATAACTGTCATATTTAAAGTTTTAAAAAAAATGCAATCAGTCAGAATCCAGGTAGAGAATGCCAAACAACAGCAATTTATTTTAACTGGCATAATTTCATTTATATCAACTCATATCAGAGGTCTCATACAGAGTCCTATATTGAAATGCAAATGAATCTTAGTAACAATAGTTTGTGTAGGGAAAGATCAGTTCTTCAGACTGCTGAATTCCCTCTTGTTTACACAAAAAAAGAATCAGAATCTATATTTGTCTCCAACTCAAATGCTTTATACACTCCATGGCATGTTAGCAGATTATGTCAGATGCTGATGTATTTTAAGAAGATATGTTTAGGTTTTCCTATATCATCCAGAAATTATAGGAATGTTCATCAGTCAGTACAAAAGTGCTATGTAACGATATCCTTCTTTGTCATAAATTGATCCAATTTTTTTACTCAGTTCTTCATAGGTATGCTGCTCTGCACCATAGTCCAATCTGGTATCATAAAAAAGGAGAATGACTGAACAGAATAGCAGAATAGATCTGACAACTTATGAGTTACTGCTCCACATAGAAGAAGTCTTACATAAATCCAGGTATCATTTGGATTTAACTCTTTGTGGAATTATTTCCAAGAATAATTCTTTAAAATAACTTAGTTTTGTTTCTATAATAGGTGACAGAAGATGCATACCTACCAAAATACTGCAGGAATTTGGTAAAGAGATTGAATATGGGAAACTAGTCATCTTCTTGCCTCTAGCATTTAAATTGCCAATGACTCGTGAATTGAAAAGCTGCTCCAAGTAGGACCGAAGAACCCTCATATCGAAGTAATTATCTACACGGCCTCCATAAATTGCATTTTCAAACAAGCCATGAACAAATTCCCACTGAAAATCTTTGGAACCTATAAATTAATTAGTACTACTTTAGTATCAATGAACAGCGTTGCATTATAAGCATTATTTCTTGTCATTGCAGTTCTTCAGTGAAATAAAAAAAACACAAACAGATCAAATAATTAATTTCTTATTGTTTTTCTTCTATATTACCAAATAATTAAAGTTTCTGAAACTTCAACAAGTTTATGAACATGTCATTGATAAAATAACGCTTACTGTGTTTCAAAATGAGTTATTATAAACATTACATAAGTCCTGAAGTGCATTTTACTGTAGATAAACTAACTGGTTACAATGCATTTCAGAAATGATGCTATTAAAATTTTGATTATGAGCTACTTTGTCAGAAATAAAAAGAGTTTGCTTTGTTCAAGATGTCATACACTATTTTGTATCACAGTACCACCTGAGGTCATCAAATATACTGATTGAATCAAAAGCAGATCGTGCTCAAAACAGATTACATTACTGGAAATCACATCCTTCAAACACCAAGAAGTCCAGGATAGGTATTTTGTAAATCATTATAAATCACACAACATAGCCCACAAAACTAAGCATGTTATTATTGGTCTCCCCGTCAGATCGATCATACAATTAGATTACGCTGGTTTAGGTATATTTCACAAATTCAGAGTAACTGATTATCCCCTCCCTTCTACCATAGTTGTCCAAAATAGCCACATGGGACAACGACCTACTTATACCCTATTGTCTTCATGTGCAGTTAAAAGCTTGGCTGGAAAGGTATTACCTAAACTCCCTTGAAAAAAGGAAGTAGCAACTACTTTAAGGAGGATTTACTGGTGGTAACTATTGTTTCCAAATATTTCCGTCATTCCTTTGTAAGAGAAGTAATCTTCACAGTAATTAGATTAGATTAATGATTATCATTAATCGTTAATGCTTTAACTTCTTTATATTTCTGTATATTTCTGTATATTTCAAGTCTGTATAACTAAATTCCAATTCCAGAAGTACTATTCCTCCATAAATCCCATTTAAGTCAATGATCATAAATTATCTCTAAATATCAGTTCCTTAACTTTACTTTGAAGTTACATAAAATGCAAAGACTTTGAAGGAAATAACCTTTTTAATAATAACTAATATTAAGAAATTACTATGTTACTTAGCAGAACAATGAAGCAAGCTCTATCTAACAGTGAGTTTTAACATGAAAAATTAATTCATACTCAATTCATATGTGATTCGTTTATTCAGTATATGCAGGATCTCAGGCTGGAAAGGAACTGAGACCGAAGCTCTCATCTTCCAGGCTCTCCTGTATTTCCTATTTATTCCTCTGGACTCAGAAACTGAGCAGAACAGTGCTTGGCACAAAGAAATTACTGGTCTACCTGACCTCTCAAAAATGGAATTATGATGCACCCTCTGTTCCTAGCTCTGCTTACTGGTGATGAGCCTTGTGGCACCTCCTCACTTACTTGAGTCTTTTAGAAAGATAAAGCTCTTTGCGCAACATCTCTACTAATGGTACAGGTCCTGTCTGAACTCAGGATCAGATGGCACAAGGTGGCTTCCTTCCATAAAGCTAAATTCTCTTTTGCCCTCAAAATAAGGAAACCTTCTACCTGGTGGAAAGAGTCTCCAGGCTCTGTTACCTGACAAGCCATGCCTTGTCACTGTGTACGAGAATGCCAGTCTGCATAAGCTAAATATGGCAAAAAATAAACCCATCATGGAATGGTTCTGAGCTTGTGTCTAGCCATTATCAGTTTACTAATATAGACATATCTTCAGAGTCTGGATCCACAAGCAGAAAAGCCTAATAAGCCCTAGGTACAGTTGATTCAGTGTCAGACTACTTATCATTCTGAACTAGTTACGTGGTTACGTGTTTCTATTTCTGAAAATGTTCCAATGAAGATTCAAATGCAAAATGCAAATACCTTCAAACCAGCCTTTAAACAGCCTTTAATGGCCCCATTACAAACTTCAAACGAGACAATTGTGCAAAGTAACTAATTTATAAAAATTACTATGAAAGTTTTTCATATTCTAAAAATTTTAAATGAGAGACATTCAGTGGAGTTATTCTGCAGAGGTGACAAATCTCTCCTTAAGAAGTGACTTACCCTCAAAGAGACTATCAATAATGTCAAAACCAGCACGGAGGTCAGATAGAGAAAATTCATAAAATTTGGTCCAGCCCTATCATTAACAGAAATCGAAAGAGTTTAGTCACACATTGATCAGCAAGTAAAATACAAATACTGTGTGGTTACTGATTATTGTACAATACTTAATACTAAATGAAAAAAAAAGAGACAACCTATGTCCTCTAAAGTGCATCTTTGGAAATATTCAGTGGAGGTAGTATTAAAAACCCAAATCAACCAGTGCATGTAATTATATATACTTGTACAAACTAGAATCCATTTAGTACCAGTAATATAAACTTAACATTATTTTATTTTCTAACAGTATTTACTTCAACTAAAACTTCCTGACATTTGTGAATATGATTTTCTGAGAGCTTTTTTTCTATTTTAGTTTCCTGCGGATTTTCATGAGTAGGTCTGATTCTTCAAACAGGCTACATTATACTTTCATCATCTTACTCCTTAAGCCATGTCATTTCTCTACTGACTGAAAAAATATCAGAAAAGCAATTACTACTACTATTAAAGCAAGAATGATGACCATTATATGCATATTTTAATCATTCTCAGTTTGTACTTCCTTTCTATTCTTGGTGGCATTATTCTTTATATAGCATTAATGTGTAACGTGTACGTAATTCTCACAAAAAACCTTTCAGCATAAATGGGTAAGTATACATAAATATTGATACATGACACAGAACTTAGGAAATCCAGATCTCGGAAGCGTCTCCTGTTGTTGTATCTTCTTATAGCTGTACCTCTGCTTATGGATGATATCATGGGCACAGATGCATGGGACTCATGATGAGAAATGTGCAAATGTTTCAGATAACAAGCACATACACCCAGAAAGATGGATACAGTCTCAGGTGAGCCCTGCACCTGCTCCACAGATCACAATCAATCAGCCAGTCTCCCTGAAGGTCATAAACTGGAAAGATGCTGCAGTCTCTCAACGGTGTTCATGTACTGTGTGCAGCTGTGGAGCTCTCAACACAAGAAGGACATGGACTTGTTGGAGCAGGTTGAGAGGAAAGTCACAAAGATGATCAGAGGGCTGGAGCACCTCTCCTACGAGGACAGACTGAGAGAGTTGGATCTGTTCAGCCTGGAGAAGAGAAGGCTCCAGGGAGACCTTACAGTGGCTTCCAGTACCTGAAGGGGGCCTCTGAGAAAGCTGTGGAGGGACTTAGCACATGTAGCAATAGCATGAGGGGCAATGATTTTAAACTGGAGCAGGGCAGATTTAGATTAGACATTAGGAAGTTCTTCACTATGAGGGTGGTGAGATACTGGAACGGGCTGCCCAGAGAATTTGTGGATGCCTCATCCCTGGCAGTGTCTAAGGTTAGGCTGGATGAGGCTTTGAGCAACCTGGTCTAGTTAAAGACATCCCTGGTCACTGCAGGGGGGTGGGACTAGATGACCTTTAAACCCTTCTAACCCAACGCATTCTATGATTCTATGTTGTTGATTTTTTGACAGATCCCTGCATGGACCCAGCACCACCTGAATACAAGAGTTTCTAGCTGGGATTATCTGCAGTCCAGCACTGTCAGAAACTGGTAAGTTTAGGCAAACTACAAAGCCATCACTAAGTCTGCACATGAGACAAACAAAGTTACAGTGGAATTAAGGAGAAAGTAGTAATCCTATCTTGTGTCACTTGGAAAGCTGGTGGTAAATGAACAATGATTTGAACAAAGTCAAATGAGGATTCATGTGTCTAATCAGTACTTTAAATATTTTCACCTATTCTGCTTCTTGAACACTGTATTCAAAATCTGTTACCACAAAAGGCAAACAACCTTAAAAATCACAAAGTCAAAACTAGCTAAAAACTCTCGAACACTTCAGGCTCTGCCAGATCAAATCTTTGAGATGACAGGTTAATTTCATCCCTAATCTAAATAAAATAAACAAGATATAGAACAGTTTGTTGGTTGGAGGGTTTTTTTCTGTTTAATTTAAGCATCTGCAGCCAGAAAGAAAGGTTTGCTTTAAACAAAAATTTATATAAAGAAATATAACACATCACAGCCTGTGAAAACCATTTTAATCCTCACCAGAAATGAGTAAATACCCTTGTTTTTATTTCTCCTTGAACGGGATTTGTGTGCAGAAAGAACAATGTCATCTAATCCTTTCCACCAAAGTTTTTCTTTTTCAATGTCGTCCATTAAACCATGTAAGTTTCCAAAATATATTTCCTGTCCCAAGCAAACAGGATTCACAGAATCTTTTCCCCGTGACCTCGCTCGTGCATCAGTATCAGTTACTACACAAATCACAACACCATGAAGGCAGCAGCAATTTTCAGAGGGACAGGAATTTAGGCTACCAAGATCTCATTTTGCAATGAATTCAGAGGCAATCATGAAGGCAGGCAGCAGAAGTATCCAAGTTTTTCTCATCTCTGAACACGACCCAACATATACCTGACAAAAAATACTTCCAAATATAAAAGCTAATAAATGGGACAATTGTTTTAAAGTAGAAAAAAAATCACCTGAGGAATATAATTTCTTCTTTCTTGGCATACAGCATGAAACCATGCTAAACAAAAAAGAGAATGTGCTCGAGACAAATTTCCCTTTTTATTAATTTGCTCTGGTGTCCAAGACTCGTAAGTTCGCAAGAGATTCTTTTTGAGGCCCGGAGGTGCCTGCATTGAAAGGAAAAACACTGTTCTAGACAGAAAAGCTGATATTTTTATGTACTAGTTTCTTACACTTTAACTTATGATTTATAACTTAATGAATTGACAAACAGTACTTAATAAAACAAAATTGATCAGGGAAAAAATCGGCTTGTAATAAATGGTCAAGCAACAGAATGATCTTATACTGCAAATAACTTAAAAATATTGAACGAAATTGTAACCAGGACCAGGAGGATTCTATCAAAATACATAAGCATAAAAGTAAATTAAACTTTTTCAAGAATAAGCTCCTTCTGATTTTACAACCTCAACTACTAGTTATGATTTCTGCAGTCAGAACCAATTCACCTTATAGCAACGCCATACTCAGTTTTCTGGCATATATATCTGTTACATATGCATGATAAAATATCAATTCTCTGATTCAGTGGTAGCTAATGTTCACAACCAGTAGAAATGACTGCAGTTACAGTGTATATAATAAGAAAGATTACAGTGCTTAAAAGTAAAACCAACTGATTATACACCCAGTCATTTTCAAATTATTTGCAAATGTGAAGGCAAATGTAAATTTTAGAGATTTAGATCACATTTTCATAAGAATGTTGCTTCTTTCTTTTGAAAAATAATGGAGATTAATATTTTCATAAGATTACCATAGTTGTGTATGTTGCATCTGCACACTTGTAAAAAATTGCTAAACATTGTAGTCAATGGATGATGTTCTTAAAAGATATCTACTTCTTCACTGGTAATAGTTAGGGGACATATCACAACCATATAATAACCAAATATGATCATCCAAGTCATTGTGCATCATTGCCCTTTCATGGAAATAAAATATTTACTACAAATGAAAAGGTAACTAAAGGATTTAGAACATTGGCAAAGCTCCAATTATCCAAAGACAGTGGGATCAGTAAATTCAAGAGAAGCGAGAAATCCTACAATCCTACGCAGTCCTATAGTTTCTGCATCAATGAAGATCTAAATATAAGCAAAAAGATACTCCAGAAGTTTTAAAATACCTGCAGTCAATACAAAAGTAAAAATTTCTGGCATCTTGAAAGTCAACAGCATTGGACTCTAAAAGCTTCTGGACTTAGCTGTAGACAAAACCTCTAACTCCAAACCCAATGGAAGAGTCAGTAGTACCCGATCGTGATTTCCAAAATGGACATTAATGTATAAGTGCATTTCTCAACAAGCTGGAAGGGTATCGTCTGAGTTATACCTTAAGTTGAGTCATTTTGAAAGTAAAGCATTTAATTTTTAGTAAAGGCCTTTGACTATATGTTCTGCTCTATGGGAAGACCAACACTTTTAGTGAAAGGATCCAGAGAATAAAAAGTTATGGGGCCAAAAAGAAAAATAAAGAAGAGAAAGTGATCTTCAGAGGAGAACATTCATCAAGAAGGAAAAATTCCTTGTTTTTCATCCACATTCCAGCACCTGTGTAAGTTTTTTGCAAAAAGAATTTGGAGCACAAAGCAGAACAAATATTTCTCCCAGGTAAATTCTTTTGCACTTCAGACTTTCAATTAGAAAAAAAAATCTGGAAAGAAATTTTACACATCTTTCCTTTAAAGTATAGCTTATGCAAATTTCAAAAAATATATTACAAATGATCATCAAAAGTCTTTCAAGGTTAATTCATTGCATTTTTTGTATTATATCTAATCAAAACACAAAGCAAAAGCAATTACGTAAATAGCCCATATTACCCAAAATTTATTCTATCTAAATATATAGTTTCGTATACATCCAAGTTCATTCATTGTAAACATGTAATAACAGCTTTCAAAACAGATCTTACTTCGTAAGTTATTTTCAGACTTGATTGAAGCAAAATAGGAGTAAATTTTGGATGAACTTCAGTAGTAAGCCAAAGGCGAAAGTTCGGTTGAGGCTGTAATGTATTCAATTCCTATTAAAGAGATGTTAAAGTAGGTTTGGGGGTTGGTTTTTTTTTTTAGATACAGAACAGCATTTACAAAATTAGTATATCCCAAATTAGCAAGTTAGGCTTACGTAAAAATTCTTTAGTTGTTTTTACAAGTAAGGTTATTCAAAAGGCTACAGTTCAAGCACATTCTATAGGCTTGCTATGCTCAAGTTTGAAGCTCATCCTAACTGTGTCAAAATAATTACACCTCCCTTCCAGACTTTAAATTCAGAGCATTAATATATATAGCAGTTCTTTAATTCTTTTAAGTAAAAAAAACACCAGAGGGCTACATCTCAAAAGATGAAGACTTAGCATGTGGGCTGTACATCAACAACAAATCTTAACGACTGTCAACACCTGTATAGCTATATTAATTTCTTTTTCATCAAGCGCTTGTTGTATACACACTTCACGTATCATCATTCATAGAAAATGGGAGATAAAAAAATGGAATTCTAATACTGTCAAATGCTATTTCAAATATAAAGGTTTCAGTAAAAGTAAGTCATTGCTGAATGTATGAAAACATACTGATGGTGGTTTATGTGCATCTAAAACATGTATTTCACACTGAAGATGCTAAAGGGGTTTGACAATTGACATGAGAACAACGTCAACAGTTTTGTGTGTCTTGGAAAAATCATAGCTCAATAAACTCTTAACAGATTTTCTCACTATCCATTCATATTGATAATGTCTAAAACAAAATCATAATCATTTTCTTGTCAGTGTTTTTAGTAAAAAATAAAATTCTATTGACTCATTAATTGTTCCACTCTTCAGGCAAAATATGACTATCTGGTACCTAGAATCACAGAATTGTTGAGGTTGGAAGGTACCTCTGGAGACTGTCCAGTCCAACCCCATGCTCAAAGCAGAGTCAGCTACAGCAGGTTGCCCAGAACTGTGTCCAGTTAGATTTTCAGTATCTTCAAGGATGGAGACTCCACAGCCTCTGCTCCACTGCCTGACCAATCTCACAGTAAAAAAAATTTCTCTTTTGTTTAAATGGTGTTTCCTGTATTTCAGTCTGTGCCTGTGGCCTCTTGTCCTGCCACCACTGAGAAGAGCCTGGCTCTCTCCCTTTTACTCCTTCCCATCAGACAATACCCACAAAATAATAAGATTCCTTCTGAGCCTTGTCTATCCAGGCTGAACAGTCCCAGTTCTCTCAGTCACTCCTTGTATGACACGTGCTCCAGTCCCTTCGTGACCTTTGTGGCCCTTTACCGGACTGGCTCCAGTATGTCCGTGTCTGTCTTGTACTGGGTAACCCAGCACTGGACACAGCACTTCAGGTGTGTCTCACCAGGGCTGAGCAGGAGGAAGGATCACCTCCATTGACCTGCTGATAACGCTCTGCCAAAATCAGCCCAGGACGCTGGTGCCCTTCTTTGCTGCAAGGGCAGATTGCTGGCTCGTGGTCAGCTTCTTACCCACCAGGACTCCCAGGTCTTTCCCATCAGGCCGCTTTTCAGCCAGTTAGCTCCCAGACCATCTGAATGCCTGGAGTTATTCTTTCTCATGGGAAGCATTTGGCATTTCCTTTTGCTGAACTTCACAGGGTTCTTGTTAACCTACTCCAGACTATCAAGGTCCTTCGGAATGAAAGCACATCCATCTGTTCTATCAATCATTCCTCCCAGTTCTGCTTCATCAGGATTTGCTGAGGATGCACCCTGTACCATTATTCAGGTAATTTATTAAGATGTTAAACAATGCTGGCCACAGTATCAGCGCCTGATGATTGGCCTCCGGCTGGATTTTTTGCCCCTGACAACAACTCTTTGAGCCATGCAGTTAGACTAGTTTTCCACCCCTATCACTGTGGTATAATAAGGTCTGTATTTCATCAGCTCATCTATGAGGATGTTATGGGAGGCAAACTAAGATATGAAAATGATCAACAGCCTTGGAAGCAGGAGATTTAAGAAAACAAAGGAGTTTACACGTTGATTCAAGGGCAATCACCTGCAGCATGCATCCTTTGATACATCGTGTTTGGTTGGAAGACAGCTAAGGGCAGTCAGCTGTAACCTGTGAAGGTATCATCTTCATATTGATAAAGTTCTCATTGAACAAAAGACATATTTCATCTTCTCAAATGGAAAGATCACGAGAATTAAAGTTATGTACCTGGATGGAACTGAATTATAAATAGGTAGAAGTCTCTTAAGAGGATGTTCAGACATGAATTACATAGCCTTACACTTGCTACGGGTATGCAAAATGGACAAGGAGATGTGCTGAGTCGAACATCAGCAAATCTCAGTCTATATTAAGCTCTGCAGTATTATGCTCTTGTGGGAAAAAAAAAAAAAGAAGAAACTGCTCATACATATCCATATTTCAATACTTAGCAAGATCTGAAATTTTATAATTTGTAAGAGGTTTATGAACACTGTTCACCATCATATCCAGACTAGACGACACACATCAACATTGTCTTGCTTTGCCTTTCTATTTTTTTCAGAATGGAATGTTAAAACACACACATGCTGCATGGGCCCTGCGAGATGGAAGACAGCTTCTAAGCTCATGTGCATAAAGTGCACTTTGTGGGCAATAACTAGAAACTGAAAAATTCCCATTGTTGTAAGTGTTGATAGAAATTCCCCATCTTCATTTTTGGGGTTTTTTGGGGGATTTCACAGTGATATACATGTAAAGTCCCTTTGATTTAGTTAGCAAGTTAATGATTTTACATAAAATAAGTAAAAGCATACTTCTATAAAACATTAGACATTTTAATTTCAAATTAGCACAAACCTCTCAGTGATGCAGACAAAAGCTACACTTAATGAAAAATGAACTACTAAAAAGAAAGTCCTACATCTGAAAAGAAAAAAAATATTAAGCACATAGAGATTCATATTTCAGCAAATATGGGCAGTATCCCATAAAGTACCAGAAGTCCTAAGAGGAACACTTGTTCACACATTGTGGCAGAAATACTCTATATTGTATGAAAATTAAAGTCCTCGCACAAAGGAAGGAGCTGATTAGATCTGAAGCATTTCTCCTTATTCATGATTACAAAAACCGCAAAGGTTTATTTTTTAAAGTGTTGGAATTTGAAACATCACCATGGATATGCCCGAGAAACTTCAGAAATGTTGCATACTAATTTTGTCTGGTTTCCAACACATTCTTCTCACGGTACCCTCACCTTTTCCAGCACGGGAAGCCAAGATGTAACCAGGTGCAGGTTCTTCAAACACAGCCACTCTCCAGCGCGTGCACATTCTTTTAAAGTCTGAATGGCCAGGTCAGCTTGGCCTTGGCCCATTGCAATCTGAAATGACACACACAGTTGTACCAGGAATTTATCATACCTCATTTAACAGCTAAACACAAAACTGTGTTTCCAAGTTAAGAGTGTATATGTAAAAAAGAAGGCCTGCTAAAGATAAACAGAATTTTCTCTAAGAGACTACTAAAGGGGAGAAAAGACTAAGGAAAATGTAGTTTCTTCTATGTAACCTATCTAATCAGAGTTTCTTAACATTACGTAGTCTTTTTACGGAAAAAACATACATCATTTGGTGACAGTGCTGGTATTCTCTGGAATTAAAAAAAAACATTTAAATACCAGTGACTAAACTTTTTTATTGCAGAACTGCTGATACAAGGAAAATGAGATGAGAATTTTTCTGTTGACTGTACGTTCTGTGTACTTCCTTTGAAAAGAAACACCCAATTTCATATTAAGTTGAATGAAAAACTAAGGCTGCTCTCTTTCCAACTGGGAAACATGAATAGCTTAATAAACACTATTTTCTTCTTTTTTATGATACCATATTGCTGCTAAAATAAATTTGAGTCTTCAAATGAAAATACAAAGACCTAAAACTGCATTTTCAGATTAAACTGGTGAAAAGTGAAAATAAAGGACTTCTTCTGCGGCACAATTATTGCAACAATTGACGTTAGACAATCTGTAGAGTACATTCACCTTAGTTCTACCTTAGAAACTAATTAGAAGCTACACGTAATAAGAAACCCCAAATCACACAAGTTGAAAAGAAAGTGGTCTCAGCCCATCTGAAAAGTCTTATCTTGGCATTACTCTACAGCAAGATTGAGCCATTGTGATTATTCTGATTCCTCATATCCCTGAAAAGGCAATCTATCCTGGCTTTTCACCCTGACGCTGCACTGAATCAAAGAAACTTGGAGCTTTAGCTTTATATGGTGATACAGAGATGTCTTCTGCCCAAATAAAACTGAGTACAATATCTTGAAATAATTCAAAATAGCCACAAGAAGACAACTAAAAGTCACCAGACAATATGGCAGTAAACCACACAAATTTAGTGGTCTGGTCTTTATCCCCCATGATAAATGACTCAATGGAGAAGAAAAATCTGATCTTCTATGTTCTATTTAAATTGCATGAGAAAGTGTAGGAAAAAATAACAACAACAAAATATTGTCATTAGTCGGACAGCTTTCAGAGGATTAAGCTTTGAGTACTGCTCCTTAATCAAATATCATATCATGTTACATTTTAAAAGACCAACATGTAAAGAATATTTAGAGATAAACATAGAAAGCCATGTGGCAGAGTAAGAAATACACATTCTGAAATGTTCACAGCCAGATAAGCTGGCAGCAGCACCTACATCTTTACAATTTGATGGGAAAAATATATTGCTTTAGTTCACATTCCAGGAAAGGAAAAATTTCAAGGACTATTTAAAAGAAACATTAAACTTGACACTTTCCATTTCTACGTTAACCAGTGGTCAGACAGATAACAACTCTCCACCTCGAATATTTCTCAGGACAGAAGGAAACAATGTTTTACAGAAAGGTATAAAGCATATTGGTACTGTGTATTAGGAATATTAAGAAACCACACGTATTAGAGAATTATTTAAGTTGGAATGGATCCTGGAAGGTCTCTAGCCCAATCTCCTGCACAAAGAAGGGTCAGATATGAAAGACCAGGAGCCAAGGGCTTTATCCAATGGACTCTTGGGAACCTCCAAGGAAGGAGACTGCACTGGGAAATCTGTTTGACTGTTCTCATTACCATTTATGCCCATTGCTTTTTTCCCACCTTGCCTGATTGCAAAGAGTCTGGATCGACTTTTCCAATGACCCTTCCTTAAAAAAACAAGGTAAAACAGATATAACTACTGTAAAATTTTCCACATTTTAATTATTACACAATTTTAATCATTATGCTTATCTAAGACTGACCTGATGGTAGCACTCGGTGTTTCTTTCAACACTGGCAAGTTCTTGGAGCTCTTGAGAAGGATCAGCACCAGGAGAAATAATTATCAAGATGGGTTCAATTTCCAGAGTCTCTTTGTAAAGACGTTTCAAATTCAGAGGCAATGGAGATAATTCTTTTATTCCTATAATTAGAATTATTATGGAGATGAAGTGACTATACAGGATGGAGTGTTTCATTAGCCACTTTAGAGATCATCTGGTTGTCAAAGTTCTGTTCAATGGAGACCATAAAACTAGTCCTACAATGAGAAGAAGTCCTTACAAAATGCAGGTAGAAGACACTCTATATTGATAAGAAAAAGACACAAGCACCAAAAGGGTGCCTGGACTTCCAGCTTGACTGCAGTCTTTATTTAGAGTATAGTCTTCAAGAAAACACACAAAGAGCAAAGAGCTGAAATATAAGATTATGAGAAGCTTTGCTTTTTGCCAAAACTAAGTGCAGTGTATATGTTTACATGCAGAACTTCTATATTGTCTGAGAGCCTTAATTATTAGACTTTGACTGCACATGGTTCTTTGCACTACAATTGCTTTAGTCTATTATTTGCTTTAATTCCCAACTTAAATGTTTAGCATGTTGATCTAGTACAGACAAGGCATTTATACACAAGTCCAAAGTTATGTGTTTAAGTTTTATCATAAACTCAGACAGTGTTAACCACATATTTTCAACGCATCTTTCGGCTGGTCCTTAAATAGTGAGGTGTTAGGCAGAATGAGAAATCACAAGATACAGCAAGACAGAAAAGCCCAAATCAGTGACATCTATGACACACTTGCCAAAAAATGCAACACACATTTCCTTGAGGGCACAGTCTGCTTTCAGATTTGAGCTATTATCTCCACATAGAAAAATACTCTATAATTTCAATATAACAGGTCAGGGTGGCAAAGGTTAGTGTGAAGTCTGCATTTACTGCATGTATCTGCACAGAGACTCTAATAGATGCAACTAAACAGATAAAATCACTATCAATCAAAATGCTTTTAAAATTTTTGAATTAAACAAGACCAATATTGGAAAATATTTTAATTTTACATTAAGTGTGCAGAGGTAACACAAGCATAGATAATATAAACTGAGACCATAGTAAAACTGATATGGGCAGCTCCATTGACGAGTTCTGCTGCTCACTCCCCTAAACCACAGCAGAACCATAAAACGACACTGAAACTAAAGCACAGCTATTCAGTGTTGGACTCTTTAAGTGTACTCTTTAAGTGTCAGAATCTCAAAAGTGTCTGACAAATATCCACACATTGTTTCTGAGTGAATCCTGTGCTGGCCAAATTTGGATGCATTTTCAGGAGGCCTGAAGAAAGCTTAGACTTTGAATGAAAGCTGCCCAGCGCACTCGCTTTCTAGTCACTCCTCAAAACTGTGCTTACAGCAGTATTTCTCACAAATAAAAGCTACTCCAGATATAACATGCCCTTCACTAACATAGTAAGTGGAAATAATTAAGTTATTGCAGGGAAGGACGAAAGAAAGAAAACAGACAAATTAATTAAGAAAAAAAGGAAAGTTCATATATAACTAAAGATTGGTTTCTCTTTTTTCCAGCTAAAGTCACAATTCAAGCTACTTAAGTCACGCTAAGCAATAAAAGAAAAATATCAGTATGTAGAACAGGATAGCATTCTCTAGGGTAAAAATGTTTATTTTATTTAGCTTTTATGAAA